GCTCTATACATAGTGTAAGATATTTAATGGATTTTCTATATGTCAAAAAAAGTACTATCGAAATAGGACCCTATTCGTGTGAGAAAGAGAAAGAGAAATCTGAAGAAAGATAAGATCATATCTTTCCATTTTTTTTTATTAAGTGTCCGGCAAAGTATTTCTTTATATAATATGAAAAATTTAAGCGTTATTCTTTAATAAATTTATATAAAATTTTGTTGTTAAATAAAATTTCCATCCTGTCACGTTTATGTTTATTAGGATGGGACTTAGAGTTGAATTTATTAGTTATTAGCACTTACAATTATTTATAAAATCCATCCCTCTATTTAAAATTAAGCTTTTTGTTCTTTTAGTGTAGTAAAAAGTATAAACGTTTTAAAAATAAAACTCGATTAAAGATGGCGCCACCAATCGTTGCCGGTAAAGTTAAGCAATTCGTTGCTCGATTTGTATAATAATTTTTTTATTCAAAAATATTTCAGACATAGTTTCATTTGTAATAAGGCGTGTTTTCTGCGTTTGTTCCTAGGAGAATTTGACACTACGAGATGTTTTTTTTTTTTATTTACAAGACGAAATATTCGATATAAGGAGTGTATGAGAACAAGATATAATAATAACATATGTGATGTGTTTGCTGCAATAGGATGAATTTAAGTTAAATTCTCTATTTTGTACATTTATTTAAGTCAAGTTCAAAACACATAAGTTCAAATTTACAAACGACATTTACAATACTTCGGGCGTAACAAAGTTCCAATACTTTTAATCCTCGACACCAGGACCGTCGAAAAGACACCTTACGACGAACTAACTCTAAAGTCCTTCACAGCCCAACGAGACGAGACAAGCTTCGGGACCAGCTTAGGCGAACTAAGACCAAACGTGAGTCCACGGTGAACTGAACTTCCCGCCACAACTCAATCCTTTTTATAGGATTGAGGAAGAATTGGATTCCACCAATCTGCACTTAGCAGCTCTACAAGATGTCCGCCGATGGTGTGATGTCTCTCAACCAATGAGCGGTCGAGTCTTCAAAAGTGGTCTGATCGCTGTTTCTATATGGCGACAACCGTCGTTAGTCGAACGTTTGGAAAAAGCGCGGGAAAACCGTGTGCCAGACGATTTTTATCCCGACAATTTACTTTATGATTTTTTTTTTTTTGAAAAACCTGCGCTCTTCAGAATGTGCTACATGCAATTTTATTTATTGTAATAATGTAAAAGTTATTTTTTAAAAAATTTCATAACAGCAGGTAAAGTGTCGCAAGTAGTTTTTAAATTTTTATTTTTTTACATTTTTTGGTTGAGGCAGTCTTAATGAATGTCTTAGGTGTTAGCTATTTATGTTAAATAAATATTTTGTTGTTTAATGTTACATTAGTAACCAGAGGAAATAACTTCTGCGTTGCGCACGTCTCAACTTCCTTCTCCGTTTTCATTCTCGTTACCCCGAGTCTCTCTCTACACAAGACCACGAGCTCTCGCAAAGGAAAAGTTCCTGTGTCTCAGAAATTTACAGGTGGTGTCACACTCACCCGTATATGGCAGGTAATACTTTTACCTGCCATATATGTAAGAAAACTGAACGCAGAGAGATTGAAGATTCTATGGCTTTTGGCATAAATAGTGCAATTACCATTTATTTCATAAAACAGATTGAAAAGGTTTGCCGGTTTCCCTAAGATATGATAACATTCAACAGTTAACGGTGATAGCATTAAACAGTTGTGACCATACTCAAAAGTCGGATACAATGGGTATATTTACGCGCAATAAACTGTTTTTCTTTTTACTTGCAGCATAAACAATACTACAGGAATAAATTTTCGTACTTTTTTCAGAAAATATTTTTCGCATGTTTTAAAATGTTCTAGTCTAGTTTTGAAGACATAAAACGCCTATTCTAAAGAGAACCCATTGTTACCAGGGAAAACTATTATTGAAACTAATTTGGCATTTAGTAACATTTTAACTGAATCCAAAACTCCAAAATTAAAAATAATTTTTATTTTTTTATTTTTTAACGTTGGAGCCTATCAGTGGCCGAGTGGATATACCACTAAACACTGGTAGTTGGACGCGTGTTTGTGCCATGCAAACGGATTGGCGACGTGGAGTTTTCTAGATTATCTTCACGTTAGTAACATCAAACTAGGGTACAGTTTCCCATAAAAGACTTCCCGGGAGGCATTTCCCACTCGGTAGATCGTACGTGTGGCGCGCTGCCGGGATCGAATAAAGCTAATTCTGTTTCCACTCTATGGGCACTCTAAACATCTTTTTAATCACTCAAATTCCGAACTCAGCCAAACCCATAATGGTAGTAATCGAGTAACGAAACAAGGGGCCAACACATACAGGACAGTACCAGCCATAAACACTTCCTAATGGTTTCTGCCCAAATTCGATTTCAAGTCCCAATGACAATAAGTTGATGTCTTAATGCTGCAGCAATCAGCCTATGTGATTAAACGGGTATTCAGTCTGAAAAGTCTAACTAATGCGAAAGAAATTTAATGAAAAAACCCCAAATTTCATAAATAAATCGGAAAAATTAAATAGAAATTAAGTTATATTCTAGGAAAAAAGTAACTTACGTTTTTCGGTATTTCTGTCGTTAGAAAAGTCGAAAAAGAGAAAATAATGTTGCTAAAAATTCCTACAAATAAAAACGCACACTTTAAAATCTTCAATCCTTTGCCATATATGCCAATGTAGAAAGACGTTGCAGTGATTGTCAACTGAAACAAGTAATAAACTGATAATGTTGGATTAATCATTTCGTCCATGTCGAGAAGAATGTCACAATATTGGGCGTGTTTCTGAATTATAAAGCGATAATCTAATGGTTCGCCATTTTCTATGGTATCTTCCATTTTTTCACACAGCGACGACATGTTCTCATGTAGTGTGATGCCTATATCTAAGATGTCGAGCAGAGATATCATTAAAAATCCAACTCCGTAAATTATGCACCACTGCATTAGAATTAAATGAAAGACAATTTGACATACATTGTCTTCATTCACGACAAATCCAAGAGTTATTGTAAAAATTGTAATTAGAATCACGTAGAATGACATCAGAATCAAAACAGTATATTTACTTAATTTGAAGTGAATGAATGCGGAAATTTGTTTGAAATTATCCAAGTGAATTTTGCACTTATCCGCAATCAGCTTCGAATAGTTTCTAGTGTTTTCACTTAGAAGAATTTGAAATTCGAAATAAACGAATAGAGTAAAAGACAAGAATAAAATACAATAAATAGTAAAATCATCACCAAAAAGACGATCGATGCCCCCCGTAAACTGATGTCTTTTTTCTCCTTGTAACAGGATAAACAAAAGAATATTGATATTACAATACACGAATAATATTTTTATAAAATTCTGATATAGCTTATACACGAAGTTAGTCCTTTCGTCTTTTAAAGGTAGAAACAGTCCAAAAATGGAGAGAATATTTCTATTTTCTGTAACTCTACATAACAAACAGTAACAATCAAGAGAGTGATTCACAGTGTTACGGATCATTTTCCGACTTTTTTTAATTTAAAAAATCAGCAATTTTTTTTTAAAAATGTTAAAAATCTATTTCGTGGTAAATGGTGAAAGAGCAAGCTTAAACTAGACAGAAGTGCGTAGTAATAAGACAAAAATGCCATTACGAAATGAAATTCGATTAAGGTGCATCACGCTTTAATCGAAATCTAATTAATTCAAGAATTCTGTAGTGTTTACCTGAGTAATTATTGTGGAATTTAATTGCTATCAAAAGAGATGTAATAAATGACATCCCCCAAAAATTTAAAATACTATTATAATTTCTATTAGACGAACTTAACACAGTTTACAATCTGAATTCGTCGATAAACTATTAAAGACAATTTTAAAAACTAAACAATAGAAGGAACAGGTCTGAATATTTTCTAAAATTACCTTTAGTAAATATTAAATGTCTTGTCTATTATCGTGTGTACATAGTAAAAATCGATGTATTTTAATTTCCATGATCGTTAAGTGAAATTACTAAACCATTTGCATTTTGATGGTCATTATAAATTTTCGAGTGACTACTACTAACAATATAGTGATTAAAATTACGAAATAGGGTTTGAAATAATCTAAAATACAGGTAAACGTTAAACCAGACAATACAGAAATTGTATTGATATTTATGAATGTTTGATGATGTAATATTGAAGAAACAGTATATTCAGATACCTCGCTTCAAAAATTATTTATAAAGTACCGCTAAGTTCGTGCTGACATTCAGAAAGTTTCGAATTCGTACTGAATAAATTTGACAATAGAATGGCTCAAAATGTGTGTATTTAAGTTTACAATGGATTGGTATTAGAAAATAATGGAACATATGACAGTTCTACCAAACTGCTGCTAGCAAGAGGTCTGTAATGAGAAATTAGTATTTGTTTTGGTGTTACACACGTGAAGATATATCGAAAATCCCGAATAATACTCTGCCATTCTGTTAATAAGACTTAAAATAACGACTTGTATTCAGTGGCTTTATTTATTTAGCAACTCCCTCAGATAGCATGAAATACAGGAGTTATATAATGAAAGCGGGACAAATGTATATTTGTGTGTGATTTTCTGCTCGATATGCGGATTTTACTTGGATTGAACAGATTTATGCTTTCTATTTAAGATTGAAAGCAACGACTAGCTGCTTTGAGGCATCTGTTCAGTTCTAAGCTGATAGAAAATACCTCTGTTTTGTGAATATTAATACTTTTTTTTTATATTTACATTTAGTGGATCACTCCCTCTGACCTGTAGCATTAAATGCTATTGGCTTGAGTTACTCCTCTTTTAATTAATCCTGCTTCGCATATGCTTTGCAGGTAGTTAAGATTACATAGTCGCGGTCGTAGCCGCAATACATTAATACCCGACAATTCTATTTTTTACATTAATTATATGTTTGTTGAGTAGAGTATTTGATATCATTAATTTGACAATAAACTATGAGAAAAATGTTTATGTTCTGTTTTTATAACAAGTTTTTATAAATTCATTGAAATAATATTATATGTTAACATTATTTATAAGGCTACTTTTCCTAATAGGCCAATTGTAACCTTTATTACAAACTAATTTTAACTCGTTTCTTACTTTTTCATATTGCATACAGTCAAATAAGATGTGTGTGGGTGTTTCACTTACTCCACAAATCTCGCAGTTTTCATCATCTCGATGAATAAATCTATAATGATATTTTGCAAAATCTCCATGACCTGTCACGAATTTTGTGAATTTGTGTCCAATTTGTAGATGTTTGTAATTTAACCTCTGGCTAATATCTGCTATGTATTCAAAGAGTTCCCTTCCTTTTGTAGTCATTTCCCACCGTTGTTGCTACTGTAATATGTATCTATTTTTGATTTCAGTTTTTATGTACAGGTAACCTCCGTATAACACGGCACTTCTATAGCACGGATTCACTCTAACACGGTTCGAGAATTGGTACCATCCCCTGTATAACACGGCACTTCTATAGCACGGATTCACTCTAACACGGTTCCAGAATTGGTACCATCCCCCGTATAACACGGCACTTTTATAGCACGGATTCACTCTGACACGGTTCGAGAAATGGGTAGAACCCTCGTACAACATGAAATGTAATACATTTTTACATACTTAAGTACTAATAGTTCACGAAAATTATTATTTTGGTGAACTATTAGTACTTCAGTGTGTAAATTTTTTATTATCGTCTTCATACACATGGTCCTTCGCGAAAATTGTTTCAATTTTGCCAGATCTCGACGCTTCTGCTTTTGTGTTGCCAGATGTTTTTCCCTTATTCCATAAGTGCTTAGCACCATATAAGGAAATTTATACAGATCTTTTAACTAGAAACAAGCAATCTAAAATTACATACACTTTTTGCAAAAGGTAAAGCATGAATCTGAAAATAATGCAGAAAAATGCTGGGAGGATAACGATAACTTGCCAAAAATAAAACGCTCACGGTTAATAGTGCTTTTAGTGGTGACAAAGATAACATTGTTTAATTGATATTAATATGTATCACGTAAGAAAATTTTAATAAAGGTATATATCTTAATTATGAAAATATAGTAGCATGTTTTTTTATTTTTGGAACCTAACCCTCCTTTTCGTACTAGTTCTTTGTTTCGCATAACACGGCAATTTTTTGGAACGTAACTACCGTGTTATACGGGGGTTACCTGTATTTTGTAGATATTTTTCTGTATGATTCCTTTTAGATAACTAGCCTCTTTAGCCAGACTGTCTGCTCTTTATTTCCTTTGTCTCCAAAATGGGCTTTGACCCAGCTGAACACAAGCACTTTTCACAATATTTCGTCTTATATTATCTATTAGTTCACTTTTATTGTTACTATCATTAAGAGCTTTTACTACAGCCTGGTATCTGTGCAAATAGTAATTTTATATTTTTCTTCCTTTGACTTATCCAGTTAATTGCATGATCTATTGCTACCAATTCTGCTTGGTAATTCGTGCATTTTTTATCTAACTTGATTTTTTTATGATACTGTTTCCTATTTCTATAGTAATAAACATACGACGCTCCCACTCCTTCTGAGGATCTCGATCCGTCCGTATAGATTCTGTATTTATCCTGATAGTTGTATTTCTTTATATGTATTTTCTCCCGTTCATATCTTAATAATTTTTGGTGTTGTTTCATATCTGCTTTTAGCTCGTCCTCTTTTTTTTCAATAAATCATTACGAGTTTTGTTTTCTTTTAATATATTTCTTGTATCACTATGCTGTCGAATTTCCAAATCCAGAGGCATTAGGCCCGCCAGTACACAGAGTGCATCGTGGAATGTAGTACAGTATGCTCCAGTAATTCTTAATAGCATTTTTTTTGTAGGCTATTTACGTGGTATTTTCTGTTTCATGTGTGTCAACTCCATCCTCTTCCCCCAAATTTGGGCAGCATATGTAACAATTGGGATTACATCACCTTTATAAGTATGTGTTAAAGCCCTTCCACCTATACTTTATTCTTTACGTGCTACTTTCTCTATTTCTTGAAATAAGTTACCCACTTTTTTCTTAATTGTTTCTAGGTGTTCATTCCAGAAAAGTTTGTTGTCTATTGTTTCTCCTAAATAGTTGATTTGGCTTACGCATTTAATCGATTTATTTTGCATTTTAATTGTGGGTTGCCTTTTTGCCACTTTGCATGTTGTAAAGGCTATGGCGTTTGTCTTCTCTGGATTAAATTTAAGTTTGTTTGCATTTCCCCATTTCTCTATTTTATCCAGTATATTTTTGCATTTTATTTCTATTTGTTTTCTGCTTTTTGCCGAACATATGACCATTATATCGTCAGGAAAAGCTGTTATGTTTTATTCTGATAATGTGTTGATTTTCAAGAGTTCATTTAATATAATTGACCAAAAAATGGGTCCAGAACAGGATCCCTGTGGACACCCCATAGTCATGTCCCTTTCCATTTTTACGTATGCATATTTTATGTATGCCTTTCTGTTTGTTAGATAATTACATATAAGACGATACAAATTGTTTGGGCAATTTGTCTCCTCTAATTTAGCATGGATTAGTGACCACCATGCGTTATCAAAAGCACCTTCTATATCAAGACTGACAGCAATTGTCCAGCCGTTATTTTTCCTCCCTTCTTCGATATCTTTAATTACTTTTGATATAGCATCTTTTGCTTAACGTCCTTCTTGAAACCCGTATTGATTTTTGTTAAACCATTTGTTTGAATTTAGCCAAGTTGTAAGACGATATACTATTAATTTATCCAAAACTTTTCTCAGAACAGGAAGGAGAGAGATTGGTCTATAACTTCTTACTTCTTTTCGATCTTTGTTTTTACCCTTATAGATTGGTAAGATTTTCGCAATTTTCCATTCAGCTGGGAAAACCGCAAATTTTAAACAAGTGTTATATAATTCGTATAGAAAATCTGGCTCTCTGTTATTTATTTGTTTTACAATTTCTATTGTAATTAGATCATGTACTGGGGCTTTTCCTTGTTTGAAGTTCGATATTACCCAAGATATCTCTTTTTTTGAGAATAACGGAACATTTTCACCACTTGTTTTGTATTGTAAGCTTTCTCTTAACTTTTTTTGCTCTCTGCTGTCTTTATTTTTATCATCTATTTTAACGAATTCCGTAAGTAATAATTTTAAGCTCTCCTCTGCTGTAGCGGTAACAGATCCATTCTCTTGTTTAATTTCTTTTAACTGAAATTTTCTTCTTAATTTCCCAGCTGTGATTTTATAGATCAAACCCCAGGGGTCTCCAGCACTTTTTTCTCAGAATTGTATCCAACTCTTTTCTTTACTTTCTTTTATCCTTCTCTTATAATTTTTCTGTTCATCTAGATATTGTTCTATAAAAATAGTTCTCAAGTTTTGATCGCTACATTTTTGGTAACTTTTTCTTTTTGCTCTTACTTTACTTTTTAATTTTTTTAATTCAGGAGTCCACCATTTCACTATTTTTTTTCTATCGTCGTACAGTGGGATATTCCTTTCAATTGCTTTTGTTATTATCTGAATTAACTTCGTAAGTACTGCTTCTGCCTGGTGGCGATTTTCTATATTTCTCAAATCTATCTTTGCAGATTTTAAGCCTTCCATTATTCTTTCGCAGTTAGCTCATTTTAAGTTATACTTTTTAATACTATTATTGTGAATCTTCTGATCAATTTCAAATGTAATGTACAGTACAGTACCTATGTTCAGATAGACTCGTTTCATCACATACTGTCCATTTATCAACCTCATTTATCGCTCTATTATTTATTATTGTTAAGTCTATGTTTGAACTTCCATTTGAACTTTCAAACGTGCTTGGCATATCTGGTTCGTTAAGGATGAACAGGTTTTGTCTGTTTACAAATTCTTCAATTTCGCCTCCTCTAAGGTCAGAGTTCTCATCAAACCATACATACGAATGTGCATTGCTGTCTCCACCTAATATCATTCCGTGACTTTGTTGGTATCTGCTACATATTCTATCTAAAATTTCCAAGTGGGTAGTGATATTCACTTTCATTTGGAAATAAAAATTGCTTACTATCCATTTTTTATTAGCATTTAAAAGTTCAATCGGGGTCATGTATTGATTGCAATAACCTGTTAACAACATACATTGAATATTTGGATTATTTAGGACAATAATAGTCCACGGGGTTTCCCCATCGCTGTTATATAGAACTTGGGTTCTCAAAGGTTTTCTTTCCCGACAATACGGTTTTTGGACAAGTATTACATCGTAGTGTAGTAGTTTATCACCCACTACCTGTGATGCAGCACTAATACTTCTGCCTAGATTAATTTGCAAACATTTTATTTTTCCATTTTCTATTTCTGTTCTTTTATTGCTATTTATTAAGTTATCAATTTCCATAATTTATTTTTGCTGTAGTATTTTTAATAATCTTTTGTCTTTCAGGGCATTCATCACTTATTGCTTTATGGGTGAAGGTTTTTTGTTTTGATTTAATACAATTTGTACAGTTAGGAATATTATCTTTATTTTTGCATTAAACCTAAGATCTCTAGCACAGTGTGTACAGTAATTGCGATCACTGCGACATTCATGGGCTGTATGCCCATATTTACAGCATTTGTAGTTTTGCAGTATGCTAAAATATTCCTTTAATGTACATCTAACACATCCCAGATTTACCTTTTTCTGTTTTAATAGTAGTAGTCATAATTTAGGAAAAACATCACATATCCAATGTTTAACGTCATCTGCCTTTCCCCATTTATATTTTACCTTGGTATCCTTAGTGTAATCTTTTATATCAATGTACTCTGTAGTAATATAATCATTCTGTTTATACATTTTGTCAATTAAGTCTTTTTTTCCTATTTATTTTGGGACGTTATATATACATATTTTAGGCATTATCTTTTTTGGTTTTCTAGCAACAAAATCTTCTATTTTATCTATTTTTTTTTTTTTATCAGTCTTTCGCTTTGATTAATATTTTCTACTTCTACTAGAATTGCCTTATTTCGTAATTTGCGGANAGAGGATATGGAAATAGAGGGGATCATGTATCGTATCTCGAATGGGATCGGACTTAATGAAGATTTTATGTCCTATTAGCATTTGCAATTTTTATAAAACTCATCTCGACTCTCAAAATTAAGCTTTTTGCCATTTTATAATAATTAATAATAAAGTAAGAAGTATTTAAATAAAATCTTGTAACAGATCGCACCATATGCAATTTTAACTTTGTTGCTGGAAATTTTTTTATGTCGAAATTTAGTGAAGTTTTTGATGTGTCTTGTGGCCACACTCGAGAACCAGAGTTATTAAAAAGTTGTTATGAAGAGAATCGGCACAGGTATTTTCATTCTCTTATCTTCAATTGTTTGATGTCAGTCTTTTTTGCTCCTTTACAATATTTTCACTAAATTATAACTTTGAAAAATACGTGCGCGGGGTCAATTGAATGAAAATTTAGTCGCATGAAAAAAATTCAAGCACCTTCTTTTTTCTATGAAAATTTCTTTTTGTTTCAGTTAAAATTAAATACATAAATTAAATATTAAAATAGAGCATTTCTAGCTTTTATTTGGGAAAATTATAATCGCGGGTGTCTGAGATCGATCTTTTGTATATCCATTTTATTTTCTTCGGCAGGCAATCTTTGCTTCCATAGTCTCTTCATAATTTTTTTTTTTTTTTTGAAAAATCTGTTCTCTTCAGAAGGTGCTACATGCAATTTTATTTATTGTAATAATGTAAAAGTTATTTTTAAAAAAATTCATAACAGCAGGTAAAGTGTCGCAAGTAGTTTTTAATATTTTTTTTTTATACTTTTTGGTGGAGGCAATTTTAATGAATGTCTTAGGTGTTAGCTATTTATGTTAAATAAATCTTTTGTTGTTTAATGCTACATTAGTAACCAGAATAAATCACTTCTGCGTTGCACACGTCTCGACTTCTTTCTCCGTTTTCTTTCTCGTTACCCCGAGTCTCTACACGAGACCATGAGATCTCGCAAAGGAAAAGTTCCTGTGTCCCAGAAATTTACAGGTGGTGTCACACTCACCCGTATATGGCAGGTAATGCTTTTACCTGCTATATATGTAAGAAAACTGAACTCAGAGAGATTGAAGATTCAATGGCTTTTGGCATAAAGCGTACAATTACCGTTTATTTCACAAAACAGATTGAAAAGGTTCTATAGTTCTGTTAGTTCTGTACTTGTAAAAAACTATATTTGAGAAAGATTGAGTTTTAGTACGGTTAAGATTTTAAAATAGATTTTATATTTCTTTATCCATATTTTTAATATATTTTAGACTTTTTGTTATATAAATTTTTTTTATCAAATATGTTTTATGAAAAATTGAACCTTTGATAAATTTAATTTTTGTTGTAGGTTATAAGACTAAACGACTAAAATTATATAATAAGTAACTGCAAAACCCTGACCAAGAAATGTTTAATAAAACGATCTGTGAAAGAGCCAAACTGAATGTATTCAAAAGAACATATTGTGGAAATATTTTATAATGAATGAACAGATTTGAGTAAGATATTGACATATTTTACACTGCTAATGATAATTTGTATTGTATCCGTGAGTTGTATTAATCGCAGTTTAAAATAATTACTATTACCAGGCACTACCTGAAATGTCTATTTTATTCTCTGAAAAATCGCAATGTGCATTGAAAAATGGATCTCGAGATCCCCTCTCTTGTAAATTCGTAGATTTATAAATTTCTCCTTATTATAATATTTACAAAAAATTTTTAATGATATTTAAACTCTAAAAATGCTCGAAAATTTGTTATAAAAACTGTAATGGCTGTAATTATTATTATTGTTTAAGTAAGTAAATAAAGAATAGAAACTTTTAAATTACTCATTAAACTTTCACGAAGAAATTTAATTTTTGAATTAAGAGAAATGTCACGTAGTTTAAAAATGCTTTTTGGCATTGATTATTGTTCGTAACTTATTACAATAGGAATAATGAATTACTAAATTGGTTATAATTATATTTCATTTTGAAACATTCACGTTAAAGTAAATGATTCAAATTAATACACACGACAATTAGCTATTTAAATCTTCTTCATTCCGGATATTTGCAAAACTTCACAATTAATAAAAAATTCACCGTTTTCATTTACAGAAGAATATTTCAAAATTGAAGGTTCTGCCAGCTTCCAAAGACGATTCCTCACTTCAATTTGCATGCCTCTAAAAATTTTTTCTGGTAATAATACTAACTGAGTATCTACAAAAGAGAATTAAACGTATTTTATTTTTTAACAAAAAACTTATTTTATCCAACAAATAAATAACAAGAAATTATTAATTCGTTTATAAGAAGTAATATCGTATGATTGGGGATTTTGTTGGATTGGGCTTTTAGAACGGATGGAACCTGAGAGAAAAGTATATCAGGTGTACAGAGAAAGGCCAGAGGGAAAAAATCCGAGAGGCAGACCAAGAAAGAGAGGGAAAGAGGTTGTGGAGGATGATTTGAGAAAGATGGGTGTGAGTTGTTGGAAAGGGAAAGCCCAAGATAGAGAGGAATGGGTGAAAATCCCGGATGAGGCCAAGGTCCTTCAGGGACTATGAGTACCGGAGAGAGAGATGCCAGTTGTTCCCCTACAAAATCAAATTCCAACCCAAGAAGCTCAAGACAATGAGCTATTTAGCGATTAGAAACTGACATGTGTAAGAAAGGAAATGTGTTTCTAATGCAAATATGGCTATACTATTCGTATACAAAATCTAAGCGTATATATGGTTATAGAATGAAACTTTATGCACGCAAGACTAAACAAAGAAGACAAAGAATAACAGTTGAGAAAAGCCGAATCATCAGGTTAGGATCCGTTCACTGAATTACCCAATTTCGGCCATTCGGACTGATCTGCAAGACGTTCAATATACGGCGAGGCACGTACACTTCCTTTACAATCAAACAACAAGTAAAATACTCAAAATACTCAATACAGCACTCTGTCTGTACCTTTAATATTATCAGGAAACTATCAAAAAAGAAAATTTGCATATAGGATGCTGTTACACGTATTACTCTTATTATCCTAGCTCGTTTCCAACAGTGCCATGAGAAAAAAATTTGAACTACTACGAAAGGAATTCCATATGAAATAAACTCCTTTTGAAACAATTATTTATTTCTTGTTTTAACAAACAATAATACTTAAACAAAAAAGTAATATTTTAGAATTAAATAGGTCTAATACGTATATGAGAATCCGGACTTCAACATAAACAATTTAACGTAGTAACATCAACTTTCAAACCTGGAAGTATATCTTCTTGTTTTCTTAGCGTCGATAAAGAGGCTTTCCGATTTCATCATTTTAAAATAATATCAAACGGGCAGTCAAGCTGTCGCCGTTTAATTCTCCCCGAGGCAATACGTTGCCCGCCATTCCTAGATGCCGACCCTCCAGTCACACGTAAATGTAAATTATTAAAATATAATGCAGTCTACAAAATATTTATCCAAATATGCTTTTTTGTTGGCATATAACACGTCGAAGACTTCACAGTTAGTACTTGTCACTCGCAGACCAAAATTTGAAAGGAAATTACTAAATTCTGTTTCTACATCCTTCCAATTAAGAAAAGGTGGTAGTTCATCAAGTATATGTCGTCTCTGTAATTAAATATTACTTAATATTATATGAAACATTATTTAGAGCCAAAATAATCGCACCTTTATGATCTTCGTCCATTCATCGATATTACTTATTTCTTGCAAAATAGAAAAAAATGGATTTTTAATGAAAAAAGTGAACGAAAAATATCCTCCAGGCTTTAAAATCGAAGATATAACAGAAAAGAGTTTTTTGAAATCGGATATCCGGTGAAATACGTAGAAGGATACGATTTTGTCATATCTTTTCACTTCTTCAACATTTGGTCTGAAAATCAAAATGAAATTACAACGATTACTTTCTATTTTTCATTGCTATTACCTTAATCTTTCAAACATACCGTGACTTTTACGTTTTCCAAATAGAAAAGCGTTATAGTTAATAATTTTTTAAAAAGATCTGTTACAATTTAAAATAATACCTTTGGAGGATATCCCGTGTCTCGTATTCAATTCTTTTGTCGGAATATTTTTTTCTGGCATATTCGATGTATTTAGGCATTATGTCGATAGCAACGATTTTCTTAAATTTTGGACATTTTGGTAGAAGAATATTTTTTGTGGTTCTTCCTGTACCGCATCCAATATCCAAAATGATATCCTCATCAGACCATTTCATGTTTGGAAAGTGTAAATCCAAAGCTGATTCTACGTAGCGAAGGATTAAAGTGGTGCTTAATCTTTCATAATCTTCAGCTGTTCCTTCCATATTTGCCTGAAAATTAATGAAAAATAAGTCACGAAATTCAAGAAAGAGCCAAGCATTTCATCAGAAAAGTATCGTCGTGAAATGTTTCACTGGATTTTATCTATTATTTATCAAGAAATCTTTATACAGTTTAATTAATATTTACACTATGCTAAAATTTAATTTTTACCTGAAACAATACGAGATTCCAGCTGTCTAACGTCCTAAATCAGAATTAACTTCTCAGGTCTACATGCTATTATATATATATATAGGCAGAATTATATCAACAAAAATATTTAAACATTTGATAAAAATATAACAGTGAAAACAGTCATAATTCTAGGCTTATCTATGCATTAGTTTGTGTGAATAACGTCACAATATTATCATTTCGTCGAGTTTTAAAAAGACTTTAATGTTTACTTTTTATATTTTTATTACATAAACCTTACTATGTGAGAGAAATAACACAGATTTCATTGAGAATACAATTGAGAAAAATCGGAAAAGGTTGTAATTATTTTGAAAAATGTGAAAGAGAATAAACATCTAGAAATATTCCTGAAGTAGTGAAGTCTATCTCTCAACCTCACTCCAACATCCTCTATCGCGTAATCGTAATTAAATTTCTGTTATATAAAAGGAAAGGAGTGACTTTTTTCAACAGGATTGAAGCATAAAAACAATACTTTTAAAACAACAATCCTTTATTATTAAAAAACAAATATATATTATTATTCGAATATTTATCATTTTAAACTATCTAATATGGAAAATATATATGTCAACGTTCAGTTAATTACATAAGAAAACATGATGTAACGAAAATCTAATTCAAATCAGTAGCTTTAAATTGTAATAAGCAAATCACTGAAAAACAAGTCGAGATGAAGGATGTAAACACGGAGTTTACAGATGTTTTCAGAATCATTCTGACCTTTTGAATATGGAGTTACAAAGTGATAGTTTATTCTTATCAGATTCACAATTCAAATACCGAAGTCAAAATGGCTGTTTGAATAATATTCTGAATATAATTGCGGTTTTGTTGTACGCAATGATTCAAATGGGCGATCCAATAATTTCATTTACCTTTCAAAATATCAGAGATCAATACCTTATTTGTCTCTTGTATGCGAGGATGCTAATAAGCATAACTTTATTGTTTGCCTATGGTTACATGTGGGACACTATTTATGTATTTAGGAATAACTGATTAAATATTTAATTATATGCCATATAATATATACTTTTGTCTAAATTCTAATTTATGTGATAATATAATAATAAGTTAAGATAATATATCTAGTTTTTTATTTTAATTTTAACCGAAAAATGTGTAAATTTCTCAGCAACTTATGAGATAATGAAGAGTCTGAAAGGAGATAACAATATACTTCTATGACAATTTCTAAAACGTATTTTTATAAAATTACTGGATTGTGCTTCATAAAAGATCGTAATATTGCAATATTTTAACTAACTTTGGTTGAATTTAAATGTAATTCAACACGCCGAATGATATATATCGAATGTGAAATAATTCTTACACGATCGCTTTATATATTTCAATAAAAATCTAAAAATAAAAATCTTTGATAAATGATGAATATTAAATGCCGACACCGTTACTCCTTCATACCTTTATTTTACAAATTAAAATTTTAAATATATTTCCTCGTTTTTAATATTTCAGAAAAAGGTCAAGTAATTTATTTTGAACTAAATTCTTTTAAAATAATTAATTTACTTATTTTAGATTCGAATAAATTATATTTTTAAATTATACTAAACAAAAATTGATACTTCAATCTTGTAATAAACATGTTTTATTTACATCTGTACTTGATAACATGTACTTAAAGTTTATCGCTGAAATTGTTTGTTACACTTGTCGGACTTATATAACAGAGTTTTTCAACCTTCTTGAATACGCGACTTGTTTAAAAGTTAAAAAATTCTGGCGAACCCCCACGGCCATATTAAAACTATGTCAGTGATTTTAAAAACTACGTATTTAATTAATTTTCTTTTTGTTGAGATTTAAATATCGATCAAAAAACTAATTGTACTGTAAAATAAACAGGCACAGCCTTCTTACTAAAATTGTAATTTTTTTTATTGTAGTGTAGGACCTAAAACACTTATCTTTTATTTTTTACACGCGATTCCCCGTATAATGCTTTGCGACCCTTAACACTGTTATATAACAACTAGTGTCTGAGGATGTCTGATAGATTTTACGGAAAGTTTTCTATTAGGCTGAAAAATTGATGCTGTCGTTTATAAGTTTCGTTTATCTCTTTATATACATAAATAAACCACGACGACTTGCTAAACTTTACCGGCAATATTTAAAATTATGGTGACTACATCTGTTATCATATTTTATTAAAAATTTTTCTATTTTTAACTATTATAAAATGGCGAAAATCTTAATTTTGAGAATAGGAATAAGTTTTACAACAAATTGTAATTGCTAACAACGAGTAAGAAAACTTACTCAGCAAATAATTAATCCACCAATAAATCTGTTACGGAATTCTTACTGTATCTGATATTTTTTATTAAGATTGTTTAGAGAAGCAGACATAATGTTATGATGGGCAATAAGAGAGAAAATAATTTACAAATGTCTGCATTATGTAACTGGATACAACATAGTGAAGGCTGGTCATTCTCTCTTAATTAACATATACATAGGATCCTTATCAGTTAATGGCATAAGAGAAACTAACAATTGAGTATGAAAGTTTTGTATGTTTGGAACATCCATCATATCATATACCAAGTGACAATCAGTGAAGCCAATGTAAGTAAATGAGCTATCTACTAACTCACCAATATGAAGTATTTAAGTAAGAACATTTTCATGTTTGTCTAACCATCGACAGTTTCGAATTAGAGTATTAAAATATTATTTACAGTTGTTTAATTAAAACACTCGTAGATATAGAAGGACCTAGACATATTCGAACTGGCCACACGCATTTTCAGGTGTATAGTATAAATTCACATATTAATAATACATAATATATATATATTTTTGATAGGGTTCAATATTTTACACGAATTTTCGTTTACACGAGAAGTCTTGAAACTGTCTTGAAATAACACTGCAGTAGACGACCAGTACGATCGTCTATTGCAGTGTTATTTCTAACATTTATATAGTCTATAAAAAACAAGAGCCGCATATGAATCTGCGATGTTAGCGATATCGCTCGTACAAATGTCTGATCATTCAGTCATTTTGAGAAAGAAATTTACGTAAGTCAATATAAATTCCACGTAATCTCTCCTATCGATACTGATAGTGTCGATAATATAACATAAATAAAACTTTCTTATTAGTAACTTAATTTTCCTCCTGATTATCAGTCGTAAAACAAACATTACGCGCTATTATCTGAAATATATTTCTGAAAATAGACTAAAGTTTTTCATACTATCAATATATAAATATCCAGATAAAATCATATAGAATTTCAGTTTTCAAATGAAATGGTCTGAGCAGGGTACCATTTTGGACATTAGATGCTGTTCAGAAAAATTCAATAGACACTTTTTTCTAATCAAAATACCCAAAATTGAAAAAAATCGTTGCTATCGACATAGGATCTAGTATCATCGAGAAGAAATTAACTTTTCTTACATAAATGTAACGAATTATTTTAAAATTTCCAATCATCAGAATTGATTCATTAAAGTAAAACATTTACTTATGATTAATTTTCTGTATACACAATTTATATTAAACTACAGAGAACATCTGTAAACGCTGTGTTTATATCCTTGACCTCCACTCGTGTTTACGTTATTTGCTATTTACGATTTAATTAACATTATCGATTTGTATTTTGCCTTTTGAATACGTCATGGTTTACTTATATAATAAAGGGAACGTTGAACTTTAAGTTTTCCTTATTAAAAAGTTTACTTTGATTTTAATTACAAAAGAGATCATATTACTTTCTCGTCTGTTATGTATACAAAACCAAAGAAAGTATTGGAATTGTGTCAAGTTTGACTTTTCGCATTTTTTTAAAAATCTCCACATTTTGAGATTCCCTGAATTAATAAAATAGTAAGAAAAACGGAAAGAGTTTTGTGGATACATATGTGTGTATGTGAATGTGCGTTGGCGTGTATTTTGTTGAATATCTGAGGCCGCTAGTATAGAGTAGGGTATGTCCACAACATAGAAAAGCCCATACGACGTTCTTGTGAAAAGTCAACCCGAATGCCCGAATCAGTGCGAATGTTTTAACGATCGCAAGGCAATGCTGACAAATGCAAGAGAATAAAATTTGAAGTTTTTTCAAAAATAACCAATAGGACATAATTCCGTATACGCTATACAGTGTTATTATCAAGATGATGATGCTCTAAACTAAACTCATAGGCCGTTGATAGTTTGGGGGTCGTCTTATAAGAGAGATATATGCTAAAACTATGAAACTTCGACGAAAATTTATACCTCGTCTTATCTCAAGGTCGACTTATCTGCCCAAATATACCGTATTTATTTTGACTAATAATACAAATCTTATTTTTAAAATAAAATTTCATAAAAGCCGATCATGTCACATGTTTTCCACGATAGAAACTCCGATAGAAAAAATAGTCCTAGTGAGAATTAAATTGGAAGTCACCCTTTGTTATTACAATTAGATGGGAAAAATGACACATAGGTGTCAAGAATGCACCGTTATTGTCAACATGTGACGATCACGTGACTGCTTTCCCAGGACAACTGAATAAAAGCTCGAGCCCCGGAAGCACAGGTCGCGTCCGCACACGGAAGTTAATTCTGTACTTGTGCCAGTCGATCTCCATGCAAAGGAATCGGATGCCGTCGGAGAAGACACCGGACAGAAGACACCAAGGATTACTACCTCTTCCGTCAAGACGATGCGCCAACTCTCCATTACTCTGAGAGGTATTTAAGGGTTAAGGCTTATCCTGACAATCTCTTTTTCTACTGTATTATTTTAGATGCGGTTTTCTGCGTTTTTTATTGCGTTATAATAGGGTGCGTACACTAAGAAAGGAGTTTTCGTAATTTCCCCCCAGAGGAGAGGTTGTTAACGCTTTCCCCTGCGGTGGGTAGTGTTAAGAATGGATGTGTTAACAATAAAAGTGTTAGTAGAAAGCGGCGTGCAAGATGAACGGCGCAGATGCGTTTTTTATTTTTTCGGGAAATTTAACATATTTTTAAACCCATCTAAAAGTTCTCTAATTGGT